GGAGTTAACTCTGTTTCCTCCATCTGGGACATAAAAACATGAATCTGACTAAAGTGTGTATTTTAGAGAAGCATTCATTTAGATTTGATTTTCCTCTTGTTCTGATTAGGTTATTCTAATTAATAATTATTTGTGAAAGAAGACAAATGAATATTAATTAGCGTAATATAGGAATGTGATTGCAACAAGCGTAATTTAAAATTTTCTGAAAGTTGAGACCTTTGAGAAATAGGTAAGCTTGGAACTGAAGAGGTGGAACATATATTACCCATGATCCTCATCAGTTAAAATTTAGCCTGGGATTTTGAGGTATATAATGAAAAGACCATAGGTAAATCAGGAATAACTCTTCTGAAAACACTAGAGTTAAATGGAATAAAATCAGACAGTGTGTTGAGAGCAGGTTGTCAGTCTGTTGTTCATTTGGACTAGGTTTGATCCACTGACCTCAGTGAGGTCCTTGAGAGTTTTCACACAGTTTTGCCTTCAATAGGATAGAAAAAAGTGCACAATTTGGATATGACATTTGTTTCCTAACTTCACCTGGGGCATTTGCACTTTCCACAGGAGGACACACCATGGTGTGGATATTTGTCTAGCCATTAAGCTGCATTCACAGTATTCCTGTTTTGCAAATAACTGGGCTGTGGGCTGCCAAATTTGAAGATTTTAAACATGTAATAGCTTAGTTTAATTTTTGAGGTTTGTTTTTTTTTTAATTTATTTGTTTTTCTTTTTTTAAAGGGGGTTTAGTCCTTTGCCATATGAAAAAATTGCAGTGGCTAATTGAAAGCGAGGCTTGTGGAAAGTGTTCTGATTTTTACTAACATTGAAGAGTAATCATTAATCCCCTGCCAGCCCTTGTCACTTTGAGCGGGCATTTTGGCTTTGTGTATTTTTTCTGTAAAAGAGCATTACCTTGGGGTGCTGTAAGTGTGGCAGGAGAGCGAGCAGTCTCCCACAGGACTCTGTGCCCTGGGGCAGCTGCAGGGAGTGGGGTGAGCTCACCCTGGCTTGGGCGCACGTGGGGTTCTATGTGCTCTGCAGCACTCCTGGAGATGTGTCTGCTGTGGTTTGCAGACCTGCAGGAAGCACCAGTTTGCAGCCTGGTTGTCAGAGAGTGCTCAGGCATGTCCCTAACAGCCCCTGATACACAGAGCCTCTTCTTCAATCCCTTACAGGCTTACAGTCCCTGACTTCGTAGGAAGGCTGCATGTCTAATATCTGTGATGTGTTCAGCTTCTTATTTCAGGTGACATTAATGGCACAAGAATCTCTGGCAGTTTAAAAAATATTTAAATTGTGAGTTTGCAAAAAGAGCTCAGGCTATCAGAACAGGTTAACCATCTAGAGGAGGCCCAGGTAGGGATCCTTTATTAGCATTATCTTCTTTGTCTTGCTACTCTACAAACCACCCCACAGACTCCCATTTCCTCCTCTACTTACAAAGTTATGCTGCTCTTGATAATTTACCAATTATTTATATTTATTTGCTTGATCTGTATTGCCAAAATATTTTAGAAGCTGTACTTCCATACAGTTCTCTGAGCAAGGATTTTCAAGCAAGAATTTCAGTTGCTAACAAGTGAGATAGTGGAATTCTCTCTTATGTAGTGCTAAGAATCAAATACTGGAATGTCATGTAAGTTTGTGCATTTTCAAATGGGAATTTAATCCAAACTTCATCAGCATACAGACCTCTGTCATTTCTCTCACACACTCCCACCCCACCCCCTGATAATTTTCCCCTGTGAAGTTTGTAATAGATTTTGGTTGAAACAAAGTAGAGCATGAAGAATCACATTCAATATTGGAGTGATATCAAGCTTGTAAACAAGATTCTCTGTGCACAGCTGTACATTATTTGTTGTGATACAGCACTCTTTCTGATACTGAAAAAAAAATATTAAATGTCACCAGACATGTTCTGAATTTATCTGTATGTCTGTTTATGCGTTTTATTGGGAAAAATCCCTGACTTTAGCAATGGTGAGATTTTGCAGTCCATGAGTTTTGTTCTTTCTACATTTTGCACATGTTAGTGGGGATGCATGTGGCACTGTAGGTTACTGTGGTTTTTTCCTAGCAAGTTGTTTGAGTTGAATCATTTTGAGCAAGCAGCCCTCAGCACAATGTCACTATAACCTGTAAGATTAAGTATATTTTTGCTGTAGAGTTAACTTCAATAGCCACATAGGTATTGCCTTGTGCCCATTCCCTTCCCACGCTTACCCCTGGTGGCTGTGAACTGGTGTGAGTCAGCAGTGTTGCATCTGGCATGTTATTAGGGATGGGGTAACCCTCCCACAGGGCTGCCTGGGTTTCACATTGTAGAGAGCAGTCCCTGGACAGCCTGCAGAGCACAAAGCCAGCTGCTCTCTGCTGTGCCTGCAGGCAGGCACTGGGAGTCCTGAGAACCTGCCTGTGGACATGGCTGAGAGGAGAGAGGGGAGCAGAGTGTTGAGAAGCAGCTGAAGCAGCAGTGGGGTGGGAATCACAAAGCACCACTTCTTCATGTGTGTAGCTTGTGGCTTGAACCTGTGGATTTAAGTACAATTCCTGTGTCCTACGAGTGGGATTTCAAAGCTGCCCTCACAATTCAACCTGGATGCCAAGACTGTCTCTCGACATCCCTGTCTCTCTGGGTACCACTTCCACTTGAGCTGTGTGAATCAGGACAGTCATCTCAGTCCAAACCTGAGAGTCAGCCTAACTCAGATCTCAGTAGGGATGGTGGCTAAAAATAAATACCCAGGGAAGGTGGTAATCATAGGCACAATGAGTAGTGTTTCTTCCCTGGGAATCTCTCTGCTGTTCCTGATGCTGTATGGATCCAGGAGGAACATTTGATATTCCTCATTGAATATTTTTGCCATTATGTGTCCATTTTTTCTGGTCCTGACATGTTTGAAAGATAATTTAGTATTTGTTTTATTCCTCAAGCAAAATACATCTTGGACTTTCTTTTGCCCACCTTACTATGCTTATTCTGCCAGACATTGTAATGACCTGGTTGACCACTCAACTACTTTGTACTGAAAACACCTAAACAACTACATTCCTGTAGGGCTGATTATTTTCCAAGGCCTTCTTGTATGCTAATCTTCCACCTTTCTGGACAACAGAAGTATGTTGTGATTTGCTACCAGAAAAATAGAGAGTAGTTCAACTTGCTCCATAACAAAGAACTGTGGGTTCTGCTTTTAAATCTCCCAGTAACACATTTGGATGACCTCCATGAAATCCCAGTCTGGGCTGAAAGGCTTTGTCTGGTTGCTGCTGAAACACTGATTATTCACATAAGCTCAAAAATAATTGCTGATCAAGGTTCTGACATTCTTGGTATTTTTTTTTTTTTCTAACAGTAAATAATTTGTGAAATCTGTTGCACAATAAACTAAGCTTCTTGTAGCCAAATGAAAGAGTGAATTTAGAATTATGTAGCTGAAAAAGAACTTTTTTCTTTGACAATCCCAGTAACTTGTTTCAAATTGTTAGTTTTGTGCTACATGTTCCTTTTTTTTTTTTGAATGTACTGAGGTAGCTGTCTAGAGGAGTTAAATCTTCTTCTCTACAGATAATATATAAAATGACAGCTAAAGCCATCCCTGAGTTTGGGGAAAGCTTCTGAATGGGAGCAAAACATTATTTTATGCTTTCTTGTTAGAAATATGTCAGATTCCAATTCTTTTTTTTTTTTTTTTTTTAAATATGAGCACATCTGCTGAGACCTGCTGCAAATTTACTTGCTTGAGGAAACAACTCAGCCATCTGATGGTGACAGTCATGATGTCCTGAAATGAATTTGGCCCATAACAGTAGTGACAAAATAAACAGTTTTGAGGAATCAAACAGCCCCCATATGACAAAACAGCAGTTGCATAAAATGTGCTGTCTGTTTTGATAAAAATATGTCTACATTTTTTGTCTTTATATTTAAAGGAAAAATGTTCAGGGGAAGTAGAATCCTTGTTTCAAAATAACTTTGCTGGTGATGTTACTCTTGTGCTCATCTATATATATGTGTTTGGGGTTTGTAACAGCTTATTAACCAGAGGTTTCCTTCCTCATGACTAGCACTCCAAACCTCTGTAGTCAGGTTTCCCAGTGTATTTTTTTGCCACTTGGACCTGTCACTCCTGTATGTGCTTGTACAAACCATCTGTGAGTGTGGCTCAGAAATTGTAGCTTTGCTCTGTTTTTTGTCCCCAAAGGAATAAGAAGTCAGTTTGCATCTCAGGCTGTCTCTTCTGTTTTCTGAGCAATTTTTTTCTCTTGTCTTAGGTGTTCAAGACATGATGCATAACTCCCTTATAAAATTTAGTGGGATAAAATGAAAAAGGTTAATATTTTAAACTTTTCAGTTCTGTGTAAACATAAAGAGCAGTTTTAAAAGGTTGAATATTAATAAGCACTGTAAGGGCATACATTTTTAATGTGGCTGCTGCCCACATTTGAAATTAGGTCATTCAGATTTTCTTCTTGCTGTTTATTCCAGCAGTTAATACAGCACATGAAAGTAGAGTTCAAGACCAGTGGTTTTTACTAATTAGAAGGCTGGAGTTTGTATTTGGATGGCAAAACATAAAACTATTTACCTATTTATCTCTAGTAACTCTTGAAGAAGCTGGTAAACCTAGAAATGAAATGAAAGAGAGACAAAGCTATGTGTTTTAAATTGTATTTTGCAGTTTCTCCCAGCTGGAAACAAGACAGGAGTCTGATTACAAATGTTTGCAGCATGCAGTTGGAGATGTGCCAGGTTGGCACTATAAAACATTTGCACTGGGGCTTTGGTGGGGGTTGGCATTGTTACTGACTTTCCTAAGGAGTTTTAAAGGTTAGCCAAAGCAAAAGTTGATCTTTTAATGGGGTTACAAATTAGTCTTTTTCTCTATAAGAGTACCTTTAGTGCCAGATTTCCAATGGGTGTATTTTGTAAAAAGGAAATAAATTTTTTTCATACGTTTTAAATCCCTGTTTGCATTATTGTTTGCAAGATGCCAATTTCTGTGCACTCAATAAATAATGGAGATGCAGCTCTAAATGTCTCGTATTCACTCATGAGCAGCAGTAAGTAACAGGAACTCTTAGAATGCTGAAAATGGTCTGGAAAGCTTTTTAGTTACTATGTACCATCTCTTGCAAAGCTACTTAAAAGTTAAAGTGTATATGAATTGGTTCCTGTAAAGATACAAAAATAATGATAATCTGGTGTTTGCAGTTGTCACACTTGGAATGAAGTATAACATTGTTATATTTAAAGCAAGTTAGACTACTACAAAAATAATCAAAGTGTTTTTTTTTCTTTCAGCTCCAGCGGTAAACAGATTCACCAGACGTGCATCAGGTAAGAGGAATGAAGTTCCAGTTGTCTGCATAATAATTGAAACATTATGCTGACAGTGACTGTCATGTAGAACGTAATATGACATTAGTCAATGTTCATGGGCTAACCTCTAATTTGTTACCTGCTTTACTGAAAAATGTAGCCAAGGTTTCAGGTCATGGAACTTGCAGGAAACCTTCTTGTTGCTGTGGAATTTATTAAAAATCTAAGCTTTAAAGAAAACTATTTCAGTTCTAGCAGATATGAAAGTTGAAAGCAAGAACTGAATGTAAGCAGGGTTATACCTTGCTTACTTCACAGACAACCTAAAGCTGCAATTTCAGGATCAGCTATGCATGAGGAAATGTACAGCTGTACTGGAAATCTCACTGTCCAAACCCTGGCTGGGTTGTGTGCGTGGTGTGTTGTGCTGTGCAGAGCTGGCAGATCAGCTCTGGAAGCACCATTGCCATGGTGGTGGTGTGTGGTATTGGGTGAGCACCTGCCTCACCCAGTGCTGCTTTGTGTATTCTCCAAGTTAACTTGGTTCTTGCTGGCTCAGAGAACTCTACCTTATTTCCATTACATGTAAAAGATCCCTCCAAATTACGTATCATTAAAAGTTAATATTTTTGGCCTTTCTTTATTGTTCTGCTGTGTCATGTCCTTTAGGCTTAATTTTTCATGGCTTTTTTCTTCTGAATTGTGATCCAGAATCTGGATCTTATTTGTTTGAAGTACTACAAATCTGAAAATGTGGTATAAAAGTCACCATGAAATGTAATGAGACTCATGGCTGACTCATAAAGAGTCAGGAGAGCAGGAGATGTGAGCTATTCATAGTCATTTCAGTATGTTTAACATCCAAGTATAAAATGCTGTTTGTTTTCAACTTCAGGTCATTTTTAATAAACATATTTCATAATGCAGTAGGTCTATCCAGACTTCTGGTTTTGCTAGTTATAACCTCAGTCAGGTAGTCTCTTGTCAATGTAAAAATACGAGTGAAAATCCTCAGGTTTACTGAGGAGCTGTAGAGAAAAAGGGTTTGCAGGATTGGTGCATAGCATATCATAGAATCATGGAATGGTTTGGGTTGAAGGAACCTTAATAAAGATCACCCAGGTTCAACCCCCTGCCATGAGAAGGGACACCTTCTGCTATCCCAGGCTGCTCAGAGCCCTGCCCAGCCTGGCCTTGGACACTTCCAGGGATCCAGGGACATCCAGAGCTGGTCTGGGAAACCTGTGCCAGTGACTGACCACCTTCACCTGTGTATCACAAAGGAAGAAAATGTAATTAGTTCCAAATATTCTCATGTTTTAATTAAGGCTAATACTTCAATGAGGTACTGTAGTTTGAAATGAAAGGAATGATTCGTTTACTAGTGCTCAGTAACAGTGAGCAGGACTCTATACAAATCAGATTTCATGTTTTAAGGAGAGTTTTGCTGTGACTGATTGATAGCTGACATTAATGAATGCGGTCCTTCTAACAGATGTGTGATAAGCTTTTGCATTCAGAGATTTTGATTGTTTGAAAAGCTAATACTTGCACACAAAAAGCCCCCAAACAGTTATTCTTAATGTTTCTTTAATATTAAATTAACATTTATTTGTAAAAGGAAAATAAAAACATAAGTCTGAAAGTTTTGTGCAATTATCAGGGAAATAATTTCTGTAGGGAATTAATATTTCATGTATTTTGGTCTTGTTGTGGAGAGATAGAATAGTTATCTTATTCAGAATAATGAGTCAGGTGGCGTAGTAAATCAGATGTAAATCATGTGAATACATTTCAAGCTCGAACAAAGTAATGCTGCAGTCCACTGTGTGTACTATTTTATTAAGTTAGTGGTAGCTTTAATAGTTAAAATAACTATTTTTCAAAGAAGAAAGCCTGTGAAGGGTGATAGTTCTATCTTTTCTTAAATGATAAATGACTGTCAGAGAAGTACAGTACATTTAAGAAACTTCATTAAATATAAAAATAAAATTAATAAAATATAAAATTAAAAATATAAATCAGACTATGCTATATTATATATATAATATAAACATTTCACAAGGATGTTTGCAGTCTTAATCATATTTTTAAATCCATTTCTTTTAACTGAACAGTTGTCTGTGTAGATTAAGGCCATCAAGATACCTTGCAAAGGGGAAAGCTAGATAGTAGCTGCTGGGCTTGGTTTTTTTTATGCTTGGTAGCTTAACAGCCTTCTGTAGTCAAAGCTGATTCTCATGTTTAGGAAATGCCATATGTATTATGTAGGCAGATCAAATGAAATGTAGGGTTTTTTTCCTTGAATATGAGTTTCTTTTAATTTTAGGCTGTTTGGCTAAGAGTTATTTTAAAATTGGAAATGTGCAATATTGTTGATTCTTGAGTGCTTTTGAAGATTTTCTTCTGGTGAATATATCTCCAAGCTTGTGGTGAATATTCGGAGAGTTAGCTGTAGAATGTGGTTTCACGTTGCATCTGTTGATGATACTGCAAACTGATTCTGAGAGTGTGTGACTTCAGGGCCCCATTTTGTCATGCCTCTGCCCATAGGGTCTCTCTCTACTTTTCTTGAACAGACCTAGGAGTTGTGCTGCCTGAGGGTGGATAGATTTAAATAAAACAGAAATACATGAGGTTCTGGTGCGTTGATTTGCATTGAGTTTCCAACATTTCTTCACAGAGAACAATAATTCTCTACAATGGATATTTTGATGTTTCTGTTACTCCTTGGGTAATGCCTAGTATTTTACTTGGTTGCATAAGATATAGTTATTTTTCCTAACTGAGCTAGAAATTAGGCACCCAGAGTTTAATTGCTGAAGCACCTACTGAAAATAATACAGTACAGCATTTATTATTTAACAGCTGTTCCTGTTAGCATGCTGAGAATGTATTAATGAACTGTCACTGGTATGTAAGGAAAAAAGCAGAAGTAAGCTAGGATAAATTAGTTGTTCTAGAATTCCAGTTCTTACAATTTATTGAGCTACCTAATTAGGTATCTCTGATGTGTGTTTATTCATATGTATGTGTATATTTGCAATGTGGGCTCTATACATAAAATACACTTTTAGTGCTGGTGACAGCTACTCACAGGTTAGTTAATAATGCATTCCATTGTTCTAGGCTATGCACAAAGAATAATAGATATTACACTCTTAAAAAGAGGAGTTTAGTAAGAAGAGGAGATTAAAAATACTTTATAGAACTAGAATGAACAATGAGACAGCTGCAAGTAGTTAATCCTTAATTTTTCTTTTCAAATCTGCTGGCACTAAGATGAAGAGAAAGGAAAACAACTGTTGAGGCAATCAAGAGACTTGGGTGTGGAAAAAGGGGGGAGCATGAACGGCACCCCTTCATCCTTCAGATAGGATGCGAGAGGTTCTGTGCAGCCTCATACGGGGGAAAATCTGGGAGCACGTTTGTCAGAACAGTTTCTTCTACTTTGTGTAAGGTGCCATTAGGAAGAAAGTAACAAAATAAGAGTTTTGGTCTGCAATATCTTTGAACCATTGTGTGGACTGGATTAGTCACGCCCAGAATAGAATTTATATATATCACTTCTACTTTTCAGTTTAATAATTCCTGCAGGAAGCATGGCAAAGTACTTAAGAATCAGGGTGAATTTTACTGCATTTAGACTACAGGAGTCCTGTTAGTGAAGGAATGGCTAATTGCTTTCTGGAATTATGGAGGAGCATAGGTGATATCAAATTAAATGGTTTTATACAAACTAGTATTTAGGAAGAGCAAATCGACATTGCTAACCAAGAATAGAAAATGTCCCTAGGAACAATATTTCACTTTTGATTTTTCAATCAACTCAACTATATTGAGTTCTTCTTAAAAAGATTGGCACCCACTTTCCTGTGGCATATTAAAAATTGTCAGAGAAAGGCAGCATACTGAAATGAAGTGCTATTCCCTTTTATAGAGTAAGGCAGAAGCTGGGGTTGTACCAAAAATAATGTTGTGGAATTAAGTAGCTGTAAAGTCCCCTTTGAAATGCTCAGGTAGGATGCAGGGTTGTTGTAGAAGCACATTGAGTGACAGAAGAAAGAAGAATGAAGGATTTTATTGATGAACTAGTAATTCCAGTTTTTCAAGAAGAATTAATGGTTCTACTTCTTCTGAGTGATGAATAAACCCCAAACTGAATTCAAGTGACATTGGATTCACCTTTGTTCATTACACACATGTAGTTAATCTAAAATTTGAAATGTTCAATGTGTCACATTTCTGAAATAAGCAAGGACATAGATGACATACAGTGCTGTCTAATACTAAAACTCAAGCACTTAGGCTGCCATTGGTGAGGAAAGCCAGAAGAAAAAGTGCTATCAGAATTTGAGTGTGTATCTACATTGCATGAACAGAGTGCACTAAAGAAGGCATATTGTGCCTTGTCAGGGTCCTTCCTACAGTGACCATCTCTGTAACACTCAAATCCTTTGCTGAATAAGAATAAGGGTGTGGTGCAGTGAGCTGTAGGTACCTTAGAGCCACTGGTCAGGGGAAATGCTGTGCTTTAGTCTGGTCCTGGTCCTGCTTAAAGCACATGTATCATCAAATATCCTGAGCTGGCAGGAAAGTACAACTCCTGTCCCAGCAGAGGACACCCCAAGAGTCGCACCATGTGCCCAAGAGATTGTCCAAATGCTTTATGAACTTTATCACACTTGGTGCTATGGCTGTTTTTGTGGGGAAGCTGTTCCAATGCCCAACCACCCTCTGGGTGAAAAAAGTTTTCCTAATGTCCAACCTAAACCTCCCTGACACAGCTTCATGCTGTTCCTTTGGGTCCTGTCACTGGTCACCTGAATGAAGAGATCAGTGACTGCCCATCCCCTTTCCCTTGTTAGGAAGCTGTGGACAGCTGTGAAGTCTCCCCTCTGTCTCCTTCAGGCTAAAAAAGTCAAGTGGCCTCATCCATTCCTTGGCTTTCTCCTTCAGACCCTTCAGCATCTTCATAGCCCTCCTTTGGGCATTCTGTAATGGCTTTAGATCTTTAT